TCCTACGAGTAGCTTTATGTTACTCATCCCAAAGTTACCGAGGTATTGTTCAGGTATGAAGACTTGGTTTGTGATATTCATCATTGCTTGGATGATTGTGGACTTGAAGGTTTTAATTTTTATAAAGGTTGGCTTGAAACGCCACTTGTAACCTTATTTGTCAAAATGTGTATATTTGGTTTCATATATGTAATGTATACATGAGTACACTCCTTAAAATGTATTTGACATGTATGAGATGAGGCCGGAGGCTAATGACATATAATTTGTATCCTATGTAATTTTCGACTTCATGAAATATTATGAAAATATTGAAAAATGTCAAGTTATTGTTTCGCCATGGTTGCATCGGGTGTGGGAATTTCATTTTTAATCTTTCATAGAGTCTCATTAATCATGTATGAAGTGTGGCTAAGGACCAAACGGTCATTTAAAGTCATTTGTTAATTTTGGATTTTAAAATTTCCATTTCAAGTTCATTTTCGCCTTTTTAGCCGTCGAGGGGTCAGATTTTGACTCGGCCATTTCCGGGAGCCGCAGACCATTCCCGCACTCTCAAAATCACTATTTAGGTTTGCATAAATGATCGTTTTCATGAAAAACTCCTTCCTTGGTGAAATGAGCCTCTTATGGACTAATTTTACATTTTTGTTGAAAAATCTTGCTTAAGGGCATTTTATGAATTTTTTTTGGGAAATAAATTCCAGTCTTGACTTCGTCACATAGAAAACATGATTTCGGGGGTAGTTTCTTCCTGACATTTTTTTAAAAAATATCATCTTGGTCTCGAAAACCGCGTTCTAAATTCATTTTCTGTAATTTCACTGTTTCTGCATTTTATTACTGTTTCTGCCCAGGTTGAACCTGTTTAAGAATGTTGAACCCGTTCAAGGTGAAGTTTTTGGTCCAGCATGGACGTTCTATCCATGTTGAACTGGTTCAAGAATGTTGAACCGGTTTAAGTCCTCCAGGGTTGTTTTGCAGGTTTAGCTTTGGTCTTCCAAATTCAATCTGACGTAACTTCTTCGTATCAAATCCGAATTGATCCGTTCTTGAGTCTAAACGGACCATGTCGAAGTAAGTTTTCCAATGGTGTAAATTTTAGTTTCAGATTCTTCTCCTAGGTCAATATATCCTTGTCTTAGTGAGAGGGTGTCAAATTTGATTCGAACCGGGATAGGGTTCATTTGGGATTTCTCTTCCTTTGGCCTTGGGACTTCATGTGAAGTTACCAAATGATGTTTTTGAATGTTTTTGACCTCATTTGACTTCTTGGAAGTTAAATTCCTTCCTCTTAGGGTGAGATGACCATTTTACCCTTGATCCTTCTTTTGGTAGGGCTTTGATGCCCTTGTCTTCGTTTTGCTTCCGTTGAGTCTCGAAATTCCTCAAAGGGACATTATTGTGTCTTAGGGATGACGTGCATCTCTAAGGACTTGTTTCGTTTTGCTTCCGCATTCTGGATCCGCTTCGGGTCATCACAGGGCACACTGGGTTGAAAAATCCAGGGTCGTCACAACAATGCCATGAAGGAAAGGTTGTACAGAAGGAAAAGACTACTAGGAATGGTGGGACACTTAGCTAAACCAAACACTTCAGTTGAAAGTGGTGGTACCTTAAAAGGTAACTGCCACTAATTGAAGTAAGTTATCAGAAATCATGTCTTAAAAGAGGAAGAAATCTGCAACAAAGGAAAGAGAGCAAGGAAACGTGGGACATATGTCAGTTTTTGAAGAGATAAAGTGGAAAACAGATTGCAAGAACTACCCACAACTATTAATTATGGAAGACGTGGCTGAAAATATACTCGAAAGAAACAAAGAGGAGGAAGCAGATAGAAGAAGGGGGTTGCAACTGCCGAGAAATCATGGGGTATTTGGCAGTCTGAAATCTGGCCAGGTAGAAGCTGTCGAAGCTGCCACATCAAGCTGCTACATGCATAGAAGACCTCTATAAATAGAACACTTAGAGCTACTTTACAAATCCTATTTAACACACATAACAAACAACACCTTATTTTTCAATTACATTTCATGTATCTTTACATTCATGTAATGCACCTTCAATATGTTTAATTCAAGTCATGCACTTATTATTCCTATTTTCTTGCACTTTACTTTGAAGTCCTGCACTTTCAATACCGCACTTCTTTCCACTAGCTATAGAGTAGTCCAGAAATCATTTTCAAGGCAAAAAGAACCTCTGAATGGGGTAATTCCAGTCCTTCATACAGTCGCATGATCCCTGTAATCTCCTACTGGATAATTGTTCGGATATCCACTTTGGAACGATAACAGCTCCTTGTACACCAGACAACCCCCTCCACCTGAGTGGAAGGCGGAACTTTCTAGCTTTTTTGTGAGCCGAACATTATAGGCTAACAAAATTAAGCTAGAAGAACTACTTACCTCATGAATACTCCATCAACTAATGAAACACATTCTTTGAATGCTCCATCAACACTGTATAGCTCATGATGTTCCACACACATACACATACACACACACATATAGCCTAAATGTAATTAGGCCAAAGACCAGAAACTCTGCAAAGGTTAAGGGTGAATTGCAAAAAACACCCCTGAAGTACACTTTTCGTAGCACTTTTACCCTCTATTTTAAATAGTGTGCTAAAAACACCCCTATTCTTTTTACATTGTGCAAAAATATCCCTCAATCAGAAATCTAACATAAAATAATGCTATAATACCCATTTTACCCTTTTTCTCTTTCAAAAATGCCTATACCAAACCTTACTATCCACCCCAACCATTACTACTGTGCAAAACCCATTTCAATAATTAGTGAAGCAAACAAACTCTCAATTAGTGAAACAAACTTCCCATGGCCTTCTGATAGTCGTATGATGATATATACATATATAAAACACACACACACACACATATATATGCATATGGTTTTTTGAGTTTAAATTAATTTTTTATGGGTTTGCGTTAGGGAGTTCAAATGGGGGGTCATCGGGAAACATAGGGGTGAGGGGCTTTGACGTGAATGTGACATCGCTATAGCTGTGGTGTCATCGCTGAATAGTGTGTCGTCATCATTTTAGATGGATTTTAGCATTTACAGAGGTGGTGGATCAGATGGTAGTGGAAACATGAGGGACTCGCCAGAGGCGGCGGCGGGAAATGATGTAGTCGACGAGGACGAGAATAGTCTGGCTCGAAAAAAACTCCGATGACCGCAACATCCTGCCAAATGATGAACGACCATGCAGATCTCTGCCGGTCATCACTTCACCTGATTTTCTCACTGAATTCACACTCATCTCACTGCTGCTTCAAACACCACCGATTACTTTTCTCACCTAGCCAATATCAAGCACCACCGACATTACAATAGAGTCTCTGCCCCAAATTGGGTGAATTATATGTTTGTATTAAAACTTAAAAGCTAGATTAATCAAGGGTAATTTACACAAACGCCCCTATGATTTGCCATAATTACAGGGACCTCCCCTTGGGTTTGGAAATTTACTCGGACCTCTCCTAAGAATGAAAATACCCTACATGGTCCTCCCTTATATATATGTGATGGATCGTTAAATACACTAACGGACCCATCAAAATTACTGAGATACCCTCTCCTTGGCCTCTGAAATTACTAAACTACTCCTATAAGCTATTGACTAGGCATAACGTCACAGCTGTGTTTGGGTTGCAAATTCTCTCTCTCTACAAGATTTAGTTCTCTCTCTCTCTACAAGATATCCGATCACAATGCTGTGACCACCACCACACCTGACACGACCATCTCTGTATTTCCTTGTGCATAGTTGAAATCTATTGCGAATCTATCCAAGTATTAATGATGCAAACAAGACTTCTGAAACAACATAAATTGCCCCATGGTACCATAATACTACGTATTATTATAGTGAATTATACACGCCTTTGACATATACAATTTTTTTCTTTTTCCAAAGCTGCTAGAAACACTTTATGGAAAATAAAGACACAAAATAATACTCTGTCAATAACTTCTCTCTCTTACCAGATTTTTCTCCTTATCTTCGCAGCTTTCTTATTGAGCAATCTAATAATTCCCTCTCTAATAACTTAAGCTTTCAGATTTGAAGAGTAAAAAACATGTTTGGTTCAATTTTTTAAAAGTATTTGTCAAAAATTTCAAAAATAAATTTGTTTTCAGATAATAAAAGATATCATTTTCAAAATAAATATATTTATATTAACTTTTCAGCAAGAGTCAACTAAACAGAAACTTGTAGTGTACAATTTGGGTTCTTAGAAAAATAAATAAATAATATTGTCAGAAAGCTGAATCAAATTCGCCCAAAATATTGGGATAGTGATTCCCTCTATTTGTGACATAAAAATATAGTATGTCCTAACATTGCCCTTGACTTAAATAGTGAGGGGCACCAATTATACCTTTCGGTAATTAATATGTTATTTTTTAACAAAAAATATCTTCTTTTTCTTTTTTGAATATTTGCAAATGTCTTGAAACTTCAACTACAAAAAATATCTTCTTTTTCTTTTTTGAATATTTGCAAATGTCTTGAAACTTCAACTACCATTCCAACACGTTTATCGTGTTGATATAAGTTGGACTAATAGTGGGGACTTTGGGTAGGTTCACTGGTGGATTTTATGCACTTGGTAATTTCATTAATTCTATATACATACGCTGGGTATTCCCCTTGGACCTTGTCAAACTTGGCTTTCCGGCCATTAGGTTTTAATGTACCACTCATGCTTGCCTACTATATAAAAATAATTTAATATAAGAAAAAATTCCATTTTAACAAATGTATTTGTTAAGTTTGTGTAGATAATTGGCAAGCTAGGAATTTTTCAGTGTGTGAGAAAATTGAAAAGCGAATTGATTTCTTGAAAAGATTCAACACTTTGGAAGGGACGGAGAAGTCATTAAGATCAAGGCCGATTTTTATTTTTATTTTTTAACAAAAAACAAAACATAAAAACTTGTATAAGATCGTAACATATAAAGTCAGTATTTAATAATTAATGGTGATCATATATGCATAGAATTTTATACATGAACAATTAATTTTACAAAGCTAGCTGACAACCAAACACAAGGAGTATTGAGTGTATAAACCAAAGAACCAAAGAGTGAAGCCTATTCACAAACAGTTCAACTATATACAAAGAACCAAAGAGGAAGCCTATTCACAAACACTTCAACTATACATATATAGCTCAATGGAGTTATGTAGAGATAGGGTCTAACACTACTCCCTATCATTGATTGTGAGCTGGATCAGAGGCTTCCAACTTCCAGGGAGGTCTGATCGATTATGGAGCTACTGTTCCATATCAAAGCTCTCTTCAATTTCGAATCTAATCACTGGAAGAGAACATATATATTCAGCCACCATATATATATGCCAAGATCAAAGATCCAATATCTTCTGTAGTCAAACCCAACCTGTATCTTTGACGGGAAGACAACTCAACACAGAAGGTAAGAGAATGATAACAAAGCATGTCCAAGGGACCCAAACTAGGTTTGGTTGAAGCAAAGAGCTAATCACAGCAAAGAAAGAAAAAAATATACAACCAGCTCCAAACTGTTCCATGACATTTGCAATAGCATCAGGTAAGGTGTTTCGGAGCAATATTCCATTCCACAAAGCTGTGAGTCCAATGCAAAGTGACAGAACAATTGCGGGTACTGGTAGGGACAAGGATTGTTTGGGATAGACTGTCAAAACACCTACGGATATGGGTATAACATATGTTAGTAGGGTTTTTCCGAGTTCTTGATCGCGAAAAAGTTGGACAATTTTGGAGTTCACCCTCTGGGACTCGCTTGATTGAGTGTTGGATGAAGTTTCAGATGATGTAGATGAGGGATTTGAGGGAAGATTATCTTCCGAGGAAGATGGAGGAGAGTTCATACCCTTGGAGATGGAATTGAGTGGTGACGGTGGTGGCTGTGAAAATGGTAATTGTTGTTGTGGTTTGGATTTGGGAAATAAAGATTGGAGCAGAGAGATGATTGTAACAAACACAGAATAAGGTGATTGGTACCACTTACCTGCAGTCATCGATCACCCTCTCCTGTTCTCTGGCTATGGATTCAAACCCTAGCAATGAAATTGTGAAGGATGAACTAGGAAAAAAAAAATTTGTGAAGGATGAAGATGAAATGGGCTAGAACATGACTAGGTGGGAACTGGGGTGGGAACTGGGGTGTGAACATGTATATATAGGTGAACGCTTACCGTTAATTAGTCAAAACTCTGACTCAACAACTGCAAGGAGAGATGATATATATCTTCGAACACTATGAGATGTCATCATTATTAATCTCCTATGTCTTTAATTTACAATTTTGAAAAAAAAAAAGAAAAAAAGAGAGGAATATATAAAAAAAAAAAAACTAAGATTGTTAAATTTAATCATATTTAGATATAGTAAAAAATAATAATGATGATTGATTAATTCAATTTTTATTTGGATCAAACTAATTTAACCTAAATGGACTCTCACATTTTGCCTTTGTTCTATGTTGTAAAGAGTATTTTATGTTTCTCATTGTGACTAGGAGTAATTAGTTTAAGTCTTTAAGATAGGAAATAGTCTCACTGCATGCCAAGGTATAATTACATGTAGGGGCGGAGTCAGTTTATGTCCAGGGCACTTGCCCCGCCCACTGTACATATAGAATTTTTTTAATATTTTATGTGTATATTGGAATTTTTTATATAATGGCCCCCTAAAAATTATTAGTTTTTAAAATTATCTCTTCTTTTTCTAGTTTTTTCCTGACTTACTTTTCAAATTCCTTTAAAAAAGTTAAATTTTCCTTGTAAAATTTAATTTTAATGGTTTCCTTTTTAAGTTGTCATTTTTCTTACTTTTTTTTTTTTTTTCCTTTTTCTTATTTTTTTTTTGCCCTTTTACTCCTTTAAATAATTATTTTTTTTTCTTAACATTGTGCTCCCCTAAACTAAAATCCTGGCTCTGCCCCTGATTAATTGCAAGAGTCTCATTCACCGAGCTAACTAGCCTTTTATATTTAGTTTTACAATAGAAAAAGCTACTTACTACACGGTATAATATGATATTGCAGTTCGAAATGTCAGAATCAAAAATTTTCAACCCCCCCAAAAAATAAAAAATGTGTTTGGGGTACATGTGACAAAATGTTTTGATAGTTGAGATTATATATATAGCACCAAGAAGCTTTTAATCAAAGCTCAAATTCAATATGTTCTGAATTACATTGTTAAAAAGAGGTAAAATTTATCAAACAAAAATATGTATATAAAGGGTATTTATCTATGAAAAAGTATTTTAAATACTACACATCACTGAATACATTTTAGTAATTTTATGTAAAAAAAGTTGCAAGAACTCTTTTTTAAGATATACTCGCAAAAACTCAATTTGTCTCATTTAGTGATCTAGAACTGAACCTTAAACTTGAGAAGGAGAACAAAAAAAATAATAATTTATTCAAATTAATAATTAGTGAAAGGAAAATATAATACAACTAATAAGTAATAAGAAAGCCAAAACATTGACAAGAGTATACCATCTTGTACCCGCATGTGTAAGTACACCTCTTTCTTGGTCCTCAAGTTTACAATCTTCACTCCATAATGACAACATATTCTAGAACACTATGAAGCGTATATTGATTGGCGATTGAACATGGACAAAGAAAAAACTCAATATCAATATTTTCAGTCATTGTTGATATATGATTTTTGTGACTTTTTCTTCATTGTCAGTTTGTATGGAATTAAAGAAAGTCAAACTCTCGAAAAAGTTCTGTTAGCCCTGTTAGGCATGCTGCAAACAAGTTGAAACAATTTTCTATAAGGGATTAAATAACAATAAAAAAGAGTATTAAATAATAAAAACACCTCTTAATACAGATATTTTTAATAAAATAAATAAATACCAACACGACAGGAATACAATAATAATATAATTTATTGTATAAAAAAAAAAAAAATTGATCTACTTACCGAATTTTTTTATTTTTATTTTTATTCATTTATCCATTAAGCATGAATATAATCATTAATTTGGAAAATTAGATGGAAAACTTGTTAAAAGGTTGTCATTTCTTTCTGGACATGAAATAACCCTTTATACATATAACTCAGCAAAAAAAATATGCTCCAGAACAGTAAGACAGATTATTTAATCAAACCCTAGATTCATAAAACTCAAAGTCATAGTATGATCTTCATACAACTCTAGATTCCTCAAAATAAACTCCAAGAAATTGAAATTATATCGTTATTGAACAGCAAAAAATTATACTAAATAGAGAAAAAAAGTTGGAAAAGGGAAACACACCTTTGACAGTTTGACTTTAAATTGTAACGATCCACTCTACCATATGATATGATATTGTCGGTATCGCTTTAGAATTGAGCTCGCACGATTTTGCTCTTCGGTTTTATCCCAAAAGATCTCATACTAATTGGAGATAACACCACCACATATAAGCACTTCACCTTTCCCTTACCCAGGCGGTGTGAGATTGTGCACCCGTAACTCGTCTAGTGTGGTAGTTTGCCATTGCCTCGCACTCGCCCACAAGAACATGTCAATCACCCCCTTTAGGGCCCAACGTCCTCGTTGGTAACTCTTTCGGCTGGGTCAAACTCTAATACTATTGTTAGTGACACACTCCACTACATGGTATGAAATTGTCCACTTTGAGCCTGAGCCCACTAGTGGTGCACACGGTTCGGTTCTTTAAGGTTCCGGTTGGAACCGGAACCGAAACCGTTCACAACGGTTCCTAGAAAATGAAACCGGAACCGGAACCGTATAGATTAGAACTGAACCGAAACCAAACTATAGATCCAATTCAGTTCCATGAGAACCGTTAACCATAAGTTGAGAGACAGCGGCTGAAGCTTGCGAACCCGAACTGGAAGGCGATTGAAACTAAAAGATATGGGTTTTGATTTTTTGAACAATCTGAAATGATCGATATGTTGAATTGCCGATATGGGTTTTGAACTTTTGATTCTTGCAGACAGATCTGAAATATATGGGTTTTGAACTTCTGATTCTTGTAGATTTTGTAGTTTACAGTTAGAGAGAGAGAGGGGCAAGTTTAATAGTTGCAGAGAGAAAGAGAGAGGCAAGCATGAGAGTTGAGAGACAACGACTGAAGCTTGCGAACCTGAACTAGAACAGCGGGTGATGGAAACTGAAAGATATAGGTTTTAATTTTTTGAACAATCTGAAATGATATGCCGATATGGGTTTTGAACTTTTGATTCTTGCAGACAGATCTGAAATATATGGGTTTTGAACTTCTGATTCTTGTAGATTTTGTAGTTTACAGTTGCAGAGAGAGAGAGAGAGGGCAAGTTCAGAGTTGAGAGAATAGAGATGGAGGCGTGAAAAACCTATTATATTATAAAAAATAATATATATATATATATATATATATATATATATGGTTTCGGTTTTTACCGGTTCTTCAGTTCTATCAATGACAAAAATCCTTATTATCTCCAATTAAGGTGGAGATTGGACCACACCATTTTTTAATGTGTTACACATATGTATAACACATTACACCACCATACATACATACATGCATGCTAATTTTTGGCCTTCCTAGCAAACAGAGCAAAAGGACTTAAAATAAATAAATAAATAAATAAAAACACAGAGATGGTTTAAAAAATGTTGTGTTTTGGATTGGACTTTAAACCATACATAGCAAATGGGCTTTTCTGACAATACATGCATACAATACCCTTTTCTTTTGTTTTTTTTGGGTTAAAATGCATACAATACTGTTCTTCTCGAATATATTTCCTTTCTTGCAATTTTCTGAATGGATAAACATGAATTTTGATAGACGGAATTAAATATAAAGTCAGATATAGCAATGGTAAGAGTCTCGAGTACAGAGATTTTCTAATTTTAAAAACTATTCTTTTTAAGTTATTTAAAAAAAAAAATTAAATATATATTTTTTCTTATAACCGAACCAGCACTTTGTTCCCAATATTCAACCATGAAATGCAATTTATAATCTCAGATTGGAATTGAATATATTGCAGGCTAACAAAATTAAGCTAGAAGAACTACTTACCTCATGAATACTCCATCAACTACTGAAATACATTCTTTGATTGCTCCATCAACAATGTACAGCTCATATATATATATATATATGTAGCCTAAATGTAATTAGGCCAAAGACAGAAACTCTGCAAAGTTTTATGTCAACAAAGCAGGTCAAGCTTTGATAATACCTCATATAAGTGTAAAGATGATTTAAAGGAAACCTTTGAAAACAATATATGCAGCTTCGGTAGTTGCTTCATTACATAGAATTTGGGAACAAGTCAAGTCACTCTTACATAAACAAAGTCATTGACACGTGGTTGACTCGAAATCACATCAGTTTACAATTCGTGCGGTGTCCATAAGTCCTGCTGCTTCCTGGGAAAAGTCTGTGGTGGACAATGGACATGTTTGTCACACCTCCTTCCGCGAAAAGGCCAACAATGACTAAAAATATCAATATTTTTCTCTAGCTGTCAGGGGTGGGAAAAAAAAAAAAAAAACAAAAAAAACAAAAAAAAACATTGAAACTGATAAATCCATATACAAATTGAACTGAATCAAATTCTTAGATTTTTTTACTGTTCGCTTTCAATTCTAGTTTTAAAAATAAAAAATCGTTAATTTACTATGTTGGTTTGAATTTCAAAATGCTAAACTATATTATTCTGTTTTGAAAACCCTAATGTGAGTCATGATTTTTAAAATAGGACACCTGTTAGTAAGGGTGCAACTTGGGTTGGTTAACCCATTCAAAAACTATTAAAATTTAAAATTTTAAATTCACAAATCAGGCTCAAACTAAGTTGGGTTTTCTCAAAATTCAGACATGTTTAGGTCGGGTCGTCTCGGGCCCAACCCAACCCAACCCAAAATTCAAAATAATTTTTTTTTTCCCTCTCTCCTCTCTCTTCTTTTCTTTTTCCCTTCATTTTTTTCTTCTTACAGGCGAAAATTATTTATTTATTTTAATGAACATAATAGGAGAATGGTACAGCCGTACAGGTTGATGCATTCTGTAAGAGAAGATAAAAAAAAAATGACATCTGTTATTATTATATGGGGAGTTTGATACTCTACTGGATAATAATTTTTAATTAATTGGTTGAAAATTATACGATCCATTTTATTTTTTTATTTTTTTTTCATTACCAAATTTTGTTAAATTTTTCAAAAAAAAAAATACATATATATACACACACACACACGTGGTCCTATCTTTTTTTTCTTTTGAAAAAATATATTGCACTTTTAAAGCACCAAAACTGAAATAAACATACAAGTATGCGTGTTTGTTCAATGAAATCAAGATAGATGTAAAAATAATGTAAATTTAATGAGATAAGGTAATATATATTCTTTCGGGGTAAATGAATCTTTGGAAAGGTTTCAACTTTCAAATTGCAGAAAGATTGGGCGGCTCTATAAAAGTCCACCAAAATATATATAGATAGTTATTGTTTAGTCCTTGGCTTCCCGCCATATAATTCCAATTTTTCATTCATCAAATAATTAAAAATACTTATATAATGCATTATATATATATAATATAATAACAGTTAACAAGTAATCCGAAGTGACATGTTAGTTGTTTGTATACATGTATGCGTATATAGTTTTTCATTTTCCACCCAGCAAGTCTCCTTGTGAACCATGGACCACGGAAGGAGCTTTCCATTTTCTTAATTCAACTAATTCATGGTTTCAGACCCACATTTTTGGAAGTGTGATACCTAGAATGTGCCTAATTCGTCCATATTGGAGGGAAAAAATGTACTGTAATATTTTTACTTTCCAAAAAATTCCTTGACTCACTTTATTATTATTATTTTTTATTTTTTTATTAAAGCAAATGAAACCATTCCCTATCAAATGGGGAGTATAAGAAAATTATTGGGTTTTGGGGTAATTAAAAAATATATATATAATAAATAAATAAATAAATCCGTGAAACCTGTCCGATTCGTCTAAAATATTCGGGCTGAGTTATGTCCATAACTCATTTTGGGTAGATTTCGGGTTGGCCCAACCCAACCCGATTTTCGGTTGAGGTTGGGTTAGAACTAGGTTGGGTTGGACCAACCTAACTTACAGCCCTACTTGTGAGTTTATGTTGCGGAAGATATATGTGGAAAGTTTGAGTTCGTAAGGAAAATATGTGCCTTTCTATTTTAATCAGCTTTACTTAATTTTAGCAATTAATCAATTAATCACATGCAAGATAAAAGTAAAGCTAAGCAAATAGAGTTGAGAAATTCAGGGATTTTTAGCAAGAAAACTCCAATTGGTATAATAGACTACTGTTGTGGAAAAAACTCGTGGACTGTGCAGTCCAAAGTAAACCGATCTCCTATATTTGAAACAGAATATAATGGATTTTGATTCAAGCTCACACCCAATCGTTCTACCAAACATGTCAAGACAATGAATGGTTTGTTAAGAATTCTAATAAATGTATACCATATTCCAAGTGTTAGAAAGAATGTGACATCTATGGGACCATTGGATCCCAAGGATTGTTGGTGTGAGGTGAAGAATAGATATCGATTATGATTGTTCCAATTCCTATAACATCACAAGAAGTATTTTTCTCCATAAATAACTTACCACCTACAGGTTTGTAGGTAGCAAACCATTTTTTATGAGGATATACATGAAAGGAACAAGTAGGATCAATGATTCACTTCTTAGATTCTTCCTTGTTATCAATAATCTGCAATGCTTCATCATTATCATTTTTTTCTTTTATATCTTCAGACACAACAATAGTAGCATAGGTATTCTCCTTTATTTTTAGAGAATACCATTGAATATGTGTAATGTTCAAGATTTTTTCAAAATTTTAAATTATTTATTTTTCATACCTCTTTTGCATACCACGCGAACTTGTGGGCCATTTAGGTCATTTTTTCAAGCTGAGAGTTTTAGAAACTGCAATTTTTGTTTGCCTTGCAATTAATTTCATAGCCCAATGTGTAATGTGTGGCTGAAGTATCTAACCCATAATCGTAATGACCAAATAGCACCATTTGCTCCCGTGACCCCTTTTCAAACAGAGAAGAAGTACGAACATTGATCCAATACATATGGTAGTTCGACATTATCAATTGTCAGTTATAATTAGGGTTTTAATTTCAATATTTGTAACAATGGTGAATTTCGACTTGAATATAAGAACATGAAATTTCAATAGGGAATATATTATTAACAATATACTCAACACTACCTCTATGGACTGAATTTACCATTCACGGAAAAAAAGAAAAAAAAAAAAAAACTACCTCTATGGACCGGCATTGAAGTGAATACTTTTTTTTTTTTTTTTTTTCGGAAGGTATTGAAGTGAATACTTGGTAGCAATTCATATGATTATATATGTTTATATATGATGGCATTGAAGGGAAAGTCCACTATAGAGCTCAGTCTGCATTCTTCGCTATTTAATCGCAGACATCCATTTTATTTTTATCCTTTGCGATTGTCATTGTTTCTTTAATGTTCATTGAATTATTTAGTGATTTGAGTATGTCATTGCTATTTGGTGTCCATGTTCCTTGAATTAGATTATAATAATCAACTAATAAGTGCCAAAAGTCCACTATATTATACTTGAATCAAATGTGGGCTGTTGCGTATAAGTTAACATCTATCTAATAGCAGAACACAACTAGTCTGATCATCCTTATTCAAATTAGGGTTAAATTAGGTCCTCATTTCAAAAGAAAAAGTCGCACCATAGTATTAAAAAAAAAAAAAACATTATATCGTATTTATAATATATCTTTGTTCTTCTTCTTTTTCTTCTTGTGATTTTTTTTTTTTTTTTTGTTTTTTCGGTTTAATAGATCTCAATAAAGAAGGTTCCAGAAGTATACTCTCAATCTCTAGAGGAAATCTAGGATATTTACAATTTCATTTTCATTAATAATTTCAATAGCAAAGGCTTTCGTAGTCCCTAGTAAGGTTTCTCATCCTTGCAAGCTGACTTCCAGCCTTCAAACCCCTCCCACTAATTACTAACTCTTAACATTCTTGACATAAAAAAAAATTTATAATAATAAAATAATAATTTCAATAATTTTTTATTTTTTTAAAAGTTAAGCAAACACACACTCACTTGCAGCCACTTATAATTTTTTTTTTTTTATTATTATTTTATATACATCTATAAAAATCATTAACCTTTCAAAAAAAGAAAAAGAAAAAAAAAAACCTTCTTAGGAGATAATACCATTGGCTAGAAGTCATTTGATAAATTTCAAGGAAGTAGAAGTGTGAAAAGGATGTTATTAATTTTCTACAATAGTTTTTCAACAAGGAAATGTCAAGGATGTTGCATATTGAAGGAGACAGATATCCAACTTGATAAAGAATTGTTTACTAAGTCAATGACCCTGTACATGAACATATATATATATATATATATAGGAGGCTACGTGCATTACATACATATTCAAGACTGATAGGGCCAAAATCTCTTCAATATGGAAGAGCCTGGCTGTCAGATCCTCCCCATGACTCATCTCTTCTCTGAGATGAATAAAATTTCTTTTATTCAAGCCTCACTAGAAGAGATGATTTTTGGAGTGGCATTTGTGACAGCCTTTGCTAGCTCTTCTGCAACTTCTTTCATGCCTTTCTCTTAGCTCTCAATTTTGCCTTCTCTGGCCCCATAATGGGTAGGAATATTCGAGATTTTCTAGGCATTGTCGCTCAAGTGGGATTGCATATATATCTCACGGTAATACATGTTTTAATCTTTTTTGTTAAGTTCAACCAGACATACTTATATTGTATTGTTCCTAACAAGACTCGAACACTCGACCTTTCATTTAGAGAAGAGAGATCATACCATTTGAACTATATTGCTCATTAGTATTGAAAGTAAAAATCTTGGCTTGCAATTTTGCATATAATATCCAAATTTATAACTTATATGCAAGGACTAAGACCTTTGTGGCATATTGGTATCTCATCATACAAAATTCTCCCCTTCTAAATATCTCTCTAATTTTTTCTTTTCTATTTTTTTTTTCTTCAAGTTTCTTTGTTCCCTTAAAAAAATTGCATTCATTTTTCCATTAAAAACCCTAATTATTCCCTTCAAATTTCGTTCCATTTCTTTTTTCTTCTTCTTTTCTTTTATTTTTTTTTTCTTCTTAATTTGTTTTTAATTCCTGCACTCATATATATATATATATATGGTGTTTTTTTTTTTTTTTTTTTTTTTTTTTTTT